AATATAGCTCAGAGTAGCGCTGCACCCAGCGTTCCATCTGCTGTGCTCGGTCCTGGATGATCACGCCTGTAGCAGACTTAAAAGGAGCAGATTTTTTCTGTATTACACCTAAGGCCTCCTTGATACTGTGTCCGGTGCTATCTGTATCCGAGAGCAGAGCTGAAGCCAGTAATCATTGGAACATCTCCTGGCAGCCTTTGCTATGAGCAACTCAAAGAACCTGCAAGTTGTACTCACTAGGACAGGCTTTGTATTCTGCTAGAGCTCTCCTCTTATGGCTGGCATCAACTCCTCTGAATGGGCTTTGAACCAGTCTGCCATCTTTTTGTTCTTCTTGCCAAATGTGGACAAGGCAATGTTATAAACAGCATTCTTGAAATGTTCCCATCGTTCAGGTGCATTAGCATCAGCTGGGCCTGGAAGGGTTTCCTCAAGCACTTGGACAAACTCCTCCAATTTTCTCTGATCACGAGTCTTGCTGATGCCAATACGTGGTCTTCCTTCCTTTTTCTTGTGATACTATCTCTTTGTTCGCAGTTTTACTCTACTACACACAGTATCACAATCAGCACTCTGGTAACTGTGTGTGATCGTAATACTAGGAAGGCTAAAACGTCTAGTGAGGATCAAATAGAACTTATGCCAATGCTTACATCTTGGAAACTCTGTGTTGAAGCTTCATATTAAAGAATGTGTTGTTGACACAAAGACCATAATAACAGCAAAACTCCATCAAGTGTTGGCCATTTTCGTTCATCTTCCCAATGCCAAAATGGCCTTGACAATTGGATCAAGAATTGTGATCAGTGCAACTCTCGTGTTGAAGTCTCCAAGAATGAACAGTGGCTCTCTCTCCTACAGTGTGATGTAGTGGATAGATTTTTTTATAGTAGTTGCCAGATCATCATAGAATTTGTCTTTGACTTCTGTTGTGGATGACAGTGTTTGTGCATATGCACTAATGTGAGTGACTGGTCCTGCTGATGAGTTGATCTGCAGAGACAGGATTCTTTCATTCCCCACAGTAGGTGGAACAATGGATCTCAGCAGAGTATTTCTGACCGCAAAGCCAACACCATATTCCCTGGTCTCATTCAGTGGTTTTCCCTGTAGAAGAATGAGAAGTTTTTTTCTTTGACAGATCCCATGTCTGGCAATCTCATCTCTTGCAGGACAACAATGTCCATTTGCAGTCGACTCAGTTCCATGTCGATGACTGCTGTCCTGCGCACTTTGTCTATTTCCTGCAGGTTGTCAGAAAAGCCAGGGGTCATTGTCCGAACATTCCAGGTGTCCAGCTTTAGGGCAGAAGTTTTCTTATGATTGTTGCATGGTGTAGGGTTATCGATCTGCTTGTCGTCTTCCAACCTAAACCCCACGCACCCCGTGAGGCTAACACACTGTGGCGAATTAGCACCTTACTGGCTGAGGACCGCCCAGCTTAAGGCGGGCGGTAGTGAGATGCAGTGACCTCTCCCACTGTCGGAAGTGGCTCCTGGCATCATGCTCTGCACCAATCGAGCGAAGAGTTATAACCAGTAACTGCTACTTCCTGTGTTGTTTCGACACTGTATGCAAAGCTGAAGTGTCCTCTCCAGAGCATGAAGTCTGGGTAAAATAATGTGGAGGAGAGGCTGTTACCCAAGCAGCAAATCCCCCCTCTCCACGTCGCTGAAATAGTCCAATGGAAAGGCAAGAACCAATACAACTGGTGCCAGTGACATCGCAAGAGTTGCCAGAACAACACGAACTACCTCCAGGACTCCGGTTCCAGATTTTGCCTCAAGGTTAACTCCTGAAGCCTTTTCCATAAGTGGATATAGCTACAAGACAGTGGAGGTTTGAAATCGGAGTTTTCCTTCTCCTAGATGGGCTGCCTTCCAAGGCTGATGAGCCCCACCTACCTGGCCTGCTCCCTGATAGTGTGGAGATTAGAACACAGGCCTCTAGCTGCAGGACCTTGTCTTCCAAGACAACCACCAGCTGACCCTTAGAGCATTTCTTGCCAGGAACCTCATTTGCAAGAAAACAGACATGCCACAGGTGTTACAAATGCAACAGATCCTGCACACTAGATCCTGCAGGACATGGAAAGTAATTGTGGCATTAATCCAGTGATCAGCAGTGCTGTTTTCAATGTCATATCCAGTATTTTAGTTTTGAAATACAGTGGGGTCTTGACTTGAGAACTTAATCCGTATTGGAAGGCGGTTCTCAAGTCAAAAAGTTCTCAGGTCAAATCTGCATTTCCCATAGGAATGTATTGAAAACCATTTGATCCGTATCTGCTCTTTTCCGTCCATTGAAACTAATGGGAAGCTGCTATTCCGCCTTCGACCACTGGAGGGGGATATATTGTTTCTTTTTTTCTTAGGTCAAGAAAGGTTCAGGGAAGGCAGGGAAAATACAGTCCAGGCAGTACAGTACCAGGCAGGCTGAAGACTGTCTCCCAATCCACTCTCTAAACGCTGGGAGGAGTGAGGAAGCAGACAGGCACCCTTTTCACTGGCCAACAGTTAACTGAAAGTTCACATTTTGCACTTTCCCTGCCTCCCACGTGGGTTTTTTTCAGTTCTTAACTCAAATCTAAGTATGTAAGTCAAGTCAATATTTTCCTATGAGAGTGGTTCTTAAGTCAAAATGTTCTTAACTCGAGCCGTTCTTAAGTCAAGACCCCACTGTATTGAAACAGAATGGAATGTTAAATGTTCAGAAACTGTGACAGGTTAGTTGAAAGAGCTGAAGTTAAAGTTGTGATTGCTCAGTGTCTTTAAGGCTTGTGCATAGCATTCATTCTGTGTATGCAGCCAGTGTGGTGTAGTGGGTAGAGTGTGGGTTTGAACTCTGGAGAGCATTGTTCAAATCCCCACTTGGCCATGGAAACTCATACCTTAGATATCTCACTTACCTTGGAAGTCCTATTAGGGTCACTATATAAGTTGGTTCTTACTTTAAGGCACACAACTAGCTGCAGTACAGATAGAAAGTAAACTGATATATCCAGAAAAAATAACTCAGAATATTGTAAGATTTTAAACACATACTGAAAACATTTTGCTGTATAAAATAAAATGGTTTATTTTTCTCACAGAAGGTAAAGAGGAGGAAAAAGAAAAAGGTGTGGACAAATTGGAAGAAAGTGAAAATAATGAAGAAGAAAAACGTCCAGAAAAAAGTATGTATGGCAAAGATGAGAAAAATATTGCATTTGGAAGTAAATAGACCTTGTCTAGAGGGGCGGGGTATAAATCCAATTAAAGTAAAGTAAATAGGACTTCTTACAAAATGTTGCAGTGTATCCCTACCCCTAGTAAGTAGGGTGTCTGTTCAGGACTCTAGCCAGCCCAGAAGCTGATAGAATAGTAACCCTCTTTTTGTTTGCTATACAGCACTGGAAAATAAAAGCGCAGGTTTGGTTTGCAGTACCAAGCTGTGAACATTGTTTTACCTCTGTTTCTAGTAGAAGTTCATGAGAATGCAAGGAAATTATTTCTTTCTAAAATTCGTTTGTATAATGAAGGGGAATTTATTAAACTTTCTAATATGTGTCACCCTATACCTCTAGTACCACTGACTATAAAGGGATGTTAGCAGGCCACTTCCCTCTTCTTCAGCACTGATATCTCAGTTTTCTGTGTTTTCTGAACTCCATAGAGCCTTGTGACACTATTTTGTTTCCAGTAAACTTCGAAATGTAAATATATTTGCATACCTAAGAAGTAATCTGAGTATGTGGAAAACACTATCCTAATTTTTAATTGGGCCTTTTCAAAATGGATAAGCATTCACTTGAATTCATTGAAAGTATGTTTTCTTTTCTGATTTGTGTTCTGAAACTTCTTGGAGGATTTGGATTTTTTGGTCATAGCTACCGGAATTCTGACTGGGGGAATTCCTAGTGAATTCTGGAAGCCAAAGTGAAAAAAAAAATCTGGATGTCCCATGCCTACCTGAGAAAGCTGAGTCAACAAATGTAGTAGATATTTAAAATATTACTCCTTTCCTCCACGTACTATTTTAGGGTACCTGAAAGTAGTGTACTTCAGGAAGTTACTCATTTGGCCTTCTTGTTGCTACTGCTTTAAAGCCATATGTACCATGTCTTCCCTAGTGATAAGTGTCTTTCCTAAATTCCACCTCCAGCTTGCCTAGTAAGGTAAATGTTCCCCTTGATATTTAGTCCAGTCGTGTCCTACTCCAGTCGTGTCATCCCCGTTTCCAAGCCATAGAGCCAGCGTTTGTCCATAGACAGTTTCCGTGGTCACGTGGCCAGCGTGACTAGACACAGAATGCTGTTATCTTCTCACCGAGGTGGTACCTATTTATCTACTTGCATTTTTACATGCTTTCGAACGGCTAGGTTGGCAGGAGCTGGGACAAGCAACAGGAGCTCACTCCATTGCGTGGATTCAATCTTACGACTGCTGGTCTTCTGCCCTTATAGCACAGAGGCTTCTGTGATTTAACTGCAGCGCCACCATGCCCCTGGTGCTTGCCTAGTATGCTGACATAAGTACTGCTGCTTTCATTCTGTCTCTACTTCTCTTTTTGGTGAGCTAACATGGGTTTAACTGCTCTGTTTCGGTCCTGATACGGTAGGACATTGTTGTGCTGTGAATGAAGCTATTTGTCATAAATGAACTCTATGCTGTTGGTCCATAGCATTTCTTGCCCACTGCATTTGAAGAATATATTACGACGATCTGTTTCTTTCAAATACTGTCAAACTGAGTTGTTTTTATTAATGTATGTTAACTTGTGAAGATCAAAATATTGAATGGGCACCTAAGAAATATTTTAAATGAAACATATAAATTTTAGGTGAGGTATCAAGAAGAAAGCGTTCCAAGTCAGAGGATATGGACAATGTTCATTCTAAACGACGGCGATATATGGCAGAAGAATATGAAACAGAATTTGAAGTAAAAATTACAGCTAGAGGAGATGTTCACCAGAAGCTAGAAAAGGTAGCATTTATTTGCCTCTTCTGTTTTTCCCTCCTCCACCTACATCAGATTTTAAGAATATTTTATCCTAAAGATCAAAATATTACACAGGATTATGCTGAATGAGCAAAAGCAAATTATTGTATGCAGATTTTTCTCTGTTTCTACTATTCGTTCAAAGAATAATACACTGGGCTTCTCATATATTTCATATTGTTCACTATGGTGACTGTAAACCCAGTGATTATATTTTCTCCTGCGATCGCATTCACTAGTTGAAGTCCTTTCCTATGACTTGCACCTGTGTAAGACTGATTATGTTTCATTGGCAAGGGTGGAGTTTTTTGGACATTAAACATCTAGTTCTGTCCCATGGCCCTTTTGTCATTGGGAAGTTGTAACTGCCATGGGATGGGAGATTACTAAAACTTGCGGTCACCAGGATGACAATAAGTTAAAGAACAGGAATTCAGCTTCTCTGAATTACTGTGAATGTCTTGTACCTCCTAGTGTGTCTCTATTTTTGGAATTGTTGCAAAGAATAAATACAGTGGTGCCTCGCTTAACGGGCGCTCCGTTTAGCGATGAAACCGCATAGCGATGAACTTTTTGTGATCGCAAAAGCGATTGCATTGCGATGTTTCCTATGCGGTTTTTTCGCTTTGCGATGATCAGTTCCCTGTTTCGCTTACTGATCATTGCAAAGCAATGATTTTTAAACAGCTGATCGGCAGTTCAAAAATGGCCACCGGGTTAAAAAAAATGGCCGCCCGCTGTGTTTAGGGATGGATTCCTCACATAAGAGGCAGCGAAAATGGCCGCCGTATGGATGATCTTCGCTTTAAGGTGAGTTTTAAGCCCATAGTAACGCATTAAACAGGTTTTAATGCTTTTCTATGGGCTTTTTAAAATCGCATAGTGACGGAAACGCTTAGCAGCGATTTTTGCTGCACAGATTAACTTCGCTATGCGAGGCACCACTGTACAGGATTAACCCTGCAGTCATAATTTCACAACTAGTGGTACAAGCACAGTGGAACTTGCCTAATTCTGTGCTTACCGTTGTGCTTCATGTGAAGCTTCAGATGATGCTACAAAGTCTAGCTGTATGTTGTTAAGAAGATCCTGAAATTTTATCCTTATTTGTAGTTTTTCAGACTCACCTGTGGTCTGTGCAGATGTTTATTTTCATAAAGATGTAGAAATGGATGACTGACATTCAGTTACTAGTATGTTTCTTTTGATAATAATTAATGGCTAATGTATTTGTGATGCAACATTGATGTAGAATGTTGATTTGACCTACTGTCATGTTGGTACAGCATTTTGGATGGCTTGTCCATACAACTTTCAGCCTGGGTTGATAGCTGCTTGCTCTATAATTTCACTCCACCAGAAAAGACAGGTCTCAATTTCAGCACATAAGCATGCCAGAATCCAGTCATTTGGCCTCCAAGGGTTTGCACATTTCAACACATACACCATTTATTGTTGATCTGTTTCAGTCCAGAGGATATTTGTATACAGAGTATTGCATTTCAATTCATGACATTATGTGGCTGTTAGGTAAGATTAGCAAGTACTGAAGTTGTGTATTTTACTAACTTACATCTGAAGTTGTTTGAACACTGCAGTAAGTTGTCACTGCAGGTCATTTGTAGTACAACCTTTTATGCTAAGATAAAAGTTTCATTGAGTTCAGCTGTAATGTTTCCCATTGATAGGACTATGTTGCTGTATTAAAAGCCATTGTAAATCATCAGTATATTGTAACAAGTCCTTAGACAGTCTGCTGTTTGAGAAAGTAGAAGTTAAGTGGGTAACACTTTTGGTTGCTTCCAGTAGCAAGATGTGGCAGGATCCAGAGGCTGAACCTGGGTCCCAGACCCAACAAAGTTGCCCATCCTTAACCAACACTAAACCAGCTAGATAATCTTGATTTTCCTCTTGTTAGTTTATTGTTTTCTTCAAGTAACATCTCTCTTAACCTGGATGTAAATAAATTGAATGCAGAACTTTATAACATCATTTTCAGTCTACAGTGGTGCCTCAACTTACGAACTTACTCCGTTCCGGAAGATGGTAGTAACTCGAAATGGTCATAAGTCGAAGCACTATTTCCCATTGAAATGTAATTAATCTGTTCTCACAAAAGAAAGAAAAACACTTCAAGACTGGTCGGAAACATGATTAATCCATTCTGGCCGAAAGGGGGGAAAAAAAGAAAAACAAACCAAGCGTGCAAGACACATCGGAAATGGCGGGAAAGCAAAGCAGAAAGCAAGGGAAGCATGCAAGACATATCAGAAATGGGGAAAAAGCAAAGCAGAAAGCAAGCGAAGCATGCAAGACACATTGGAAATGGGGAAAAAGCAAACCAGAAACCAAGCAAAGCACGTAAGACACATTGGAAATGGGGAAAAAGCAGAAAGCAAGCGAAGCATGCAAGACACATTGGAAGTGGGGGGAATCCCAAAAAAGCAAACAACTGCTGCAAGACACATTGGAAATGGGGGGGGGACTCTAAAAAGTAAACAACCCCCCCAAGACCCATTGCAAATGGGGAAAAAAAACCCAAACAAACCCCCCCAAGACCCATCACAGCACAGAAAAATAATCCCTCCAGCCCAAAATCACGCTGCAAAACCCACCCAGAACAAGTTTTAAAAAACAGAAAGCAGCACCCTATCTTATCAGGCAGTCCAAAGCCTCCTCCAGTCGCACTCATTCTAACCGTTGAGGCGAAAGAGTTACAAAGAAGCAGCCTCTTCGCCTACCAACAGTTAGTAATTTGAATTTCCCTCCTGTTTTTCCTGCCTTTTTCTGTTCGCATCTGGAAACTCTGGTCACAAATCGAAGAAAATTTTGCGACCGGAGCTGGCCGTAACTCGAAATGGTCGTAAGTCGAGGCACCACTATATGCCTAATTGTTTTTCAAGCAACTTAACACTTGCTTATTTGGATACTCAAAAGATCATTGATTTCTCCACATTTGTTTTCAGACTGCTATGTTTATAGGTTAGTTTCAGAGAAATATCTGGGACATATATTAAAAGAATTGCTGCTTAAATGTATGACCCTTGTATGCCTTGTTTGCACTCTAAAACATGGTAAACTGCCATGCTGCTGAAATTCTGTGTCATGCCATAACATTTATCAGTAGCATCTCCACATACTGAAGAAATAGCTAGGGGAAGCCAACTTTACTGTATGACGATACCTGTGTTTTATTGAGATGTTTTGTTGCATTCAAGAACAATATATATATACTTACATGATTCTATATAAAGTAGTAACATTAGCAATCTTTTTATACTTGTACAGGTCATACATCGGTTTCTCGAAGAGAAGTTTAGTGCCTTGCAATGTGCGGTGTTTGATAAGACTCTAGCAGATCTCAAAACCAGAGTAGAGAAGATTGAATGTAGCAAGAGACATAAAACTGTTCTTACTGAATTACAGGTATGTAAACATGTGCTTTTCAAACTTTGTAGCACTATTTTTCAAAAAGAGGTGGTTCATCATTTTTAAAAGTAAATCACTTACTGCCTGTAACATTCCTGCATAATAGGGGAAATTATAGGCAGTCATTTGGCCTGTAATAGTAGTGGACCTTCTCAGTTGGTTGTGTCAGACCCAAAAATTAGGTGCCTGACCCTCCCAGGAATCCTACAGGAATTCTGTAGACATACATGAAAAAATCAGAAGCCTGTTTTTCACAGCTGGCATTTATCCCATAAAGGGTTAATTCCAGAATGAAATCAGACAATCACAGACAATCATACCTAAATTTATCTGGGCATTAAAATATAAGTCTCTTCACTGTTGTAATTATGACAGGCAACTTCAGTTCATCTATTTCTACAAACTATTTTTATCTACATTGCTTCTATGTTCCGTATGTACAAAATTAATTTGAAATCATTCTGACATCCAAAAGTCTTAACAGTTATGAAGAAAACAGTAGGAGCAAATACTTAAAAATACATCCTTGCAACTTTTGAAATGTTAAAGGTGTTAAAACATAAGTTATAGGCAATACTTAATACGCAGGAACAAAAATATGATTGAATGTTAAAAGAATGTTTTAAGTTATATTCTAAAAATACAGGAGCTTTTAGCCTATAAGGGCAGAGTATACATCACTGTAATATATCAATGAAAAGTAAAAGCATTGTAACATTAAGTACTCATTAATAGTATTTTAAAAGCATATTAAAAATACCAGAGATGTTAAAAGTAAAAATATATTAAAGTAAAATACGTTATTTAGCTTCTAAGCACATTATTACACACATACACAGAGAGAGAGAGAGAGAAATATTTACTCATCCAGCCATACCAATCTCAAGTTTATGGAGGAAATGCCATGTTGATTTTCTTCTGTTAAATCCACCAAAGAGCTAACTACGAGGGGCTGCTGATAAGTACTGAGCCTTTCCCAGAAAAAATTGAGCTAGGACGCTGTAACTGCCACACTATTCTACATATTCTCCCAGGAAATCAATGCACTTGTGACATCTGTCTTGCAGCTTCTTAAGTCCCAGAAAATAAAATTCTTCGGACTGCTGGTGTAACCACTCATTTGCAGCATTAATTGCCTCCAGAACACTCCCAAATCATTTTCCCTTTAGGTGTTTTTTGAGTTTAGGGAACAGATAATAGTCAGAAGGAGCCAGGTCGGGAGAATAGGGTGGATGGGGCATCACTTGAAAGCCTAAGGACGTCAGTTTTTCATTGTTTCACCTGCAGTGTGTGACGAGGTGTAGTCATGCAACAGGATGATACCTTTGGAAAGTTTCCTTGACGTTTTTCCTTGATGTTTTGCCTCATCTTCGTCAATAAAGCACAGTAATATTTTGCATTGATGGTTGAACCCTGTTGGAGGTAGTCCACCAGCAGAACTCCTTATCCCCCCCAAAAAAACTGTTGCCATTTGCTTCTGCACTGACCTTTGCACTCAGAACTTCTTTGGCCTGGGGGAACCACTGTGCCTCCATTCCTTAGACTGTTCCTTTGTTTCAGGATCATAACAGTAGATCCATGTCTCATCACCAGTTACCAGTTTGCCCAGGAAATCTGACTCATTTCTTGCAAAATGTTCCAAAACAGCCACCAGTGACTCCACACGTTTCCTCTTTTGTTTGGTTGTCAAAAGTTTGGGGATCCACTTTGCTGCCAGCTTTCTCATTTCCAAGTCATTGTGGATAATGGCACCAACTCTCTTACATGATATTCTCAGATATATAGCAATACTTTTGGCTGATATTCGGCGGTCCTCCGTGATTATGTCATGGATGGCTTTCACATTTGCAGGCACAGAGACAGAAACAGGCCTTCCACTGTGTATGGATAACTACAGTTAGGTTTAGAAATAACTGGACACTGACACAAATTTTGTTATTTTGGCTATTTACCAAAATAAATTCAAGTTACAGCTAAATCATGAATATGGGCTTAAAGTGCAATCTCTCAGATTTAATTTGAGGGTATTCACATCCAAATTGGAGGAAGGGTTTAGGAATTATAGGTCTTTAATATGTAGTACTCTCTTTTTCAAAGGACCAAAAGTAAATGGTCAGTTGACACGTGTGGACTATTTCTTCATTATTTCATCATCAGTTAAGCAGCTAAAAGGTCTGGAGTTAATTCCAGGTGTGGCATTCACATTTGGAAGCTGTTGCCATGAACCTACAACATACGTTCAAAACAGCTCTCAATGTACATGAAACATGTTATCCTTAGGCTGCAAAATAAATAAATCCATCCATCCATAGCAGGAACATTAGGAGTGGCCAAATTAACAGTTTAGTACATTCTGAGGGAAAAAAGGGATGCACTGGTGAGCTCTGCCGCACAAAAAACGCCTGGACAGCCACAGAAGACAACAGTTGTGGATGATTGTAGGATCCTTTCCATAGTAAAGAAAAACCCCTTTACAACATCCAGCCAAGTAAAGAACACTCTCTAGGAGGTAGGTATATCATTATCCAAGTCTACCATAATGAGACGACTTCACAAAAAGCAAATACAGAGGGTTCACCACAAGATGCAAATCATTCATAAGCCTCAAAAATAGAAAGGCCAGATTAAATTTTGCCAAAAAATATCTTTAAAAGCTAGTCTAGTTCTGGAACAGCATTCTTTGGGCAGATGAAACTAAGATCAACCTGTACCAGAATGATGGGAAGAAAAAAGTATGGAGAACGCTTGGAACAGCTCATGATCTGAAGCATACCACATCTTCTGTAAAATACAGTGGAGGTAGTATGATGACATGGACATGCATGGCTTACAATGGCACTGGGTCACTAGTGTTTATTGATGGTGTGACAGAAGACAGAAGCAGCTGGATGAATTTTGAAGTGTATAGGAATATATTGTCCAAATTCTGCAAAGTTGATTGGACAGCACTTCACTTTACGTGGCGAATGACCCAAAACATACTGCGAAAACAGCCCAGGAATTTTTTAAGGCAATGCCAGAGTCAGTCTGCAATGCCAGAGTCAATCACATGATCTCAACCCAATTAAGCTTTCATTTCACTTGCTGAAGACAAACACAAGGCAGAAAGACCCATGAACAACTGAAGACAGCTTTAAGGAAGGCCAGGTAAAGCATCACAAAGGAGGGAACCCACCGCTAGGTGATTCCAAGCTTTCCAGACTTCAAGCAGTCATTGCCTGAAAAGGATTCTTGACAAAGTATGAAAAATGATATTATTTATGATTTTGTTAAATTTGTCCAATTATATTTGAGCCCCTGAAATAAGGAGACTGTGTATGAAAATAGTTGCAGTTCCTAAACATTTCATACAATATTTTTGTTCAGCTCCTTGAATTAAAGATGACAGGCTGTACTTCAGTTGCATCCCAGTTGCTTCATTTCAAATCCATTGTGGTGGCATATAGAGTGAGAATTATGAAACGATTTTCAGTGTCCAATTATTTCTGGACCTAACTGTGTGTACAAAGATTCTATTAGGTACTACAAGAATATAACATCAATTGTGTGAGGTCCATAAAGGTAATAATAAGGTGTAATATTTTTCTTTGTATATTAGAAAGTCTTTTAAAATTGTTGATTGCCTTAATATTGTAATTTTAATCAAGGTGTTAAAAATTACTTGTTGGATAAGTTGCAAGGTAATTTTTTTAAAAGCTGGCTTTTTAGTTCCAGACTTCTGAAAAGATAAATGGAAGTTTGTTATAGGGAAGAACCATATGTGAAGAGGCAGCTGCAATGAAAAATTCTTGAGATCTTCTTCGTGGCCTCTGTAAATGCACGCACTTCGGTTAAACGGCGCCTGCGCTGGTCTTCTCGGAATCTTCTAGAGCTTTTCTGAAAAAGTAACAAAGTTTAGAGTTGCCCCTATCACACATGCTCCAGCCATCTCAGCCTTCAGTTCCATTTTACCGCCTTTGTGCTAGGAACTTCTCGGATAGAGCTCTTGTCAAATTATTTTTTCTTGTTTATTCGGCTTGACTCGGACTGTTCTTTTCGATCATGAAACGCTTCTGTTGCCCCCTGAATTCGGCCCATCTTTGACTGCTCTCTGTTTTGTGGACTGTATTGATTACTTTGGCTTTATACTGCCGCTATTTGATGATTGAGGAAGCTTCGTTTGTTGATTGGCGCTGCGGGGTGCTGATTATATCCTCATCAGTATTTGTTTTCCTTTGGAAATCACCAATTACCACCATGAGTCTTTCAACCTTATCCCTATCTGCTTTATGTCCCCGTCAGGGCCATTTAGCAGGTGTAAGTCATGTTCCCGCAAACTTCCATTCTCAGACAGTCATGACCTCTGCCTGTTTTGTTTGGGAGATTCACATCAGCCTCAATCTTGCCACCATTGCAAGAATTTTACTAAGGCTGCCCTAAAAGCGCACCACCAACGTCTCAAGCTTTACCTTTGGGATAAAACCCTGTCTGCCTCTAAACCATCAGACATGGAGACAGCGTCCAATCCCTCGGCTACTCCTCGGTCAGAAACAAACATTTCATCTCCCTCAGCGTCAGTAGCTAAATCAGTCAAGAAACCATCGGGAAAAAATCTTCCTCATCAACCACTAAAAAGACTTCCGCCTCGACATCGAAAATACTGAATGCTAAAGAGACCTCAAACCAGAAAAAGTCGACTCGCAGGACAAAAAGGACAAGCCTAAGGATCACAAGTTTATTCCGCCAGTCACGGTTTTGTTACCATCTCTGATCCTCAAGGACTCATCTCGGGGTCGTGAGTTGTTGTTGGAAGCTGTTCCATTTTTGCCTTCTTGACATTAAGGAACATCACCTATTGTGCTCGAACGTTCATTGAGCCCGAGTCAACTTCAAGGGGCTATCCTTTTTAGCCTGACTTCTGCCCATCACAGCCCTGTTTCTACCAGGCAGGTGTCACCTACACCTCTTTCGCCTTCCTCTTCTTCAAGGCAAGACTCCCCACCTCGTAAAAAGACAGT